TGTCATTGTAGCTGGGATAATTTTACTTATTAAAGCTCATAATCTTACCACTTGAAACATCACTAGCCCTGAAGCTGCTGGTAGACATCGTGTTGGAATTATCAAAGGTTTTTGACCTCTGAGAGACACCGTAGAGTGGGGGTGGGGGGAGGACCAGGGAGGATGATTCAACCACTCAACCACTAGATGTCGCTGAAAACAACAAATCCTACACACCGTGCCTTTTAAAACAAAAAAGTATACTTCCAGTTTGCTTTTTGTGTACCAATCTGAGATATACTTAACCATGTTTATCTTACACTATACTTGCCTTGTACTAAAAGTATACTAAAAGTTTAAGTATACTTAGTTTATACTATTTAAACTTTTGGTCAAGATAAACTTTAGTGGTACACTTTTCACACAGCCTGGTTTATTTGTAGTATATTTCAAGATTAAACTAAAACTATACTTGGATTACTTTCAGTATACTTCTGAGTATACTTTTATAAACTTTGTGGGCCAATTTAGTCCTAGAATTATATTTAACTGCTAGTACACATATATCAGTTTACATGGTAAATAAAAATACACTTAGGGAAATACACTTTTATATACTTCAGTATAGTTAATGACATGTACTTAAAGTATATTTCTTTTTCGTAAGTGTATAAACTTAAAAAGACATAGCAGTATACTTAAAGTATACTTTTTATAAACTTTAAAATGTCCAAATTTAGTACGAACAAGTTTTATTTCAATATACTTTCTAGTACACTACAAGTACATGGTGCCTATTGATAAACTTATACTCAAGTATACTTATTAAAATGAACTTCAAGTATACTACTTTTTGCTAAAGGAAGTGAAGATCCCTGATGAATAAAACCAGCTTTCTGGTGGTTTTGTTCTTTGATCCACATTGAGGCTCATTATTTATAATCAGTGTCTTAAATAAAGGTTTTCATGTTTTAATCAACATTTATTAGAAATGACCGTGACACTGAGGGGTTTGATGTGAAAACAGGAGGGACTGTTGAGCAGCAGAGGTCCTGGTCGCGCGCCTCCCTCCTCGGTGACGTCACGCAGGAGGAGGGATGGCGCTTTAAATATGGAAAAAGACCAGCAGCGCGCAGAGTCCACACGCGTCCACAGCAGCGGCTTTTCCCTTTTGACATGTTGTCCCGGGACGAGCCGAGCGCGCGCAGCTGGGTCTGAAGATTTAACTTAGAACCAGAACCGCAGCTTTTTCTTTCAACTCTTTTTTTTAAAATTTAGTTTAAAAGAACGCGCCGCAGTGAGCCGAGCCACGCAGGAGGAAGAGACGGAGACAGCTGCTGGACACCAGGCTGGAAAGACCAAAACCTGCCGCCATGAGTTCCGATAAGAGCAAGTAAGTCCCCTGCGAGAAAAGTTCAGCCCGGTTCCGACCGGTGGCGGCTCTCTGTCCTCGGCCCGGCCGGGGAGGTTTTCTGTGCGTAAAAGCTCCTGGCGCGCCGCCGCGGTCCTGATCGGACTCCTAATCTGGTTTCCACGAACCTGTCACCATCAATTAGACGCAGAAAGGGAGCGCGTGCAGGCCCCGGGGTGGCGCTCAGGTCCTCAGCTGCGCATCTTGTTGCGCCAACTCGCGCGCGTCTTCGTTGCGCAATCCGGAAATCCAGCTAAAATTCGCCTGTTCCATATTTTCTTTTTGCTCTGTGGGTCGGGTTGATGTGTACCAGGCTGGGCGGAGCTCCGCTCATCCTGTCACCCCTTTAAAGTAAACACGGAGCATCCCGCAGTGACGTCTCCACGCGTGCCCCCCCCCGGCTGCCTTATCTTTTTTACACAAAGACACGTGCTGCACAGAGGGGTGTTTGCATCTCTTCCTCTGGGTGGGATTTGTTTTTGTGTTTTTAATTCGTGCCACAAGTGCAGAGACACTAAAACTACTATTTTCCTACTCCTTCAGTTTCTTTCTGCGTGTTTTCCAAGACGAAATGTTCCACATTTCAGTCCCACCTCCATGTTTTGAATGTTGCAGTCTGTCTGTTAGCAAAATATCTCATGAACCACTGAACAGATTTTACCTCTCCTGATTGGCTGTTTCTGTCACACTGTTTTCTTTTTTTGTGCTTGTTCCTGAGCTGACCTGACAGTTCAAATGCAAATTAAACACTTGACTGACTCTCATAAAAAACAAGTGGGTGGGTCCAGTTTCATTCACTGCTACACACACAGACACACAGACACACACAGACACACACACACACAGACACACACAGACATGTGGGGAATCTGCTCTGAACCGGACCGTTCGTTCCTTTTGCAGAGCCAGGTTTGTGAGTCTGCAGCAAGTGCAGGTGATGCAGATGCTTGTGCATTTACAGTCACTTGGCACAGACGGGGGGAGGGGGGGCAGGAAACCATGAAAGCACACAGGAGAGAAAAGTTAAAAGCTTACGTTGCAGGTTTTGCACACACCCAGGATGCAGCGGAGGACAGGCTGGAGGAAAGTGACAGCGTGGAAAAATCTGCTCCTCAGAATTACTCAGTGAAAAAGCAAAAACAAACAAACCAACAACAAGAGAAACACACGCACACAACTGGTCCAAATCAACAAAACCAAACTGTATCTCCTGCATGAGAACACACACGAGATAAGATGGCACATTCTGAGCTGGGATGGCGTCACTGCAGAAGGAGGTCTACGTATCTTGATCTCCTCGTTGTGTTTCCTGTTACTGATAAGTCAGATGTTCTGAAGGAGGCTGTATTTTTGGCTCGGCCCTGGTTAGTTCTCGTTGCCCTCATGGAGATGCATAAACCTGCCAGAGGAGAATGGAGGTAAGAATGTCTCCTGGTGTGTGGGCGGGTCAGAGGTCATCTCTGTGTGACCTCGGCAGGCAGTCGGCTGATAGTCGAGCAGCTGGGGTTGTTAAACAGACGGATCAGTGTCGGCTCGGTGTTCACGCCTTTTATGGGAAATAAAGCTCTCAGTAGTTGTGTTTCCACTTACCATGAAAATGCGCAAATTAGAATTTCGAAAATAAATTTGCTCAATGGAAACACGTCAATTTCGAAAAACAAAATAACAATGTTTTTCAACAAAATGTTTTTGCGCTAGGATGAGGTGGTTTTTCGGCCGTATCGAAATTAGTGTTTTTCGCAAAACTGCAATGGAGACACTTTTTTCGCATCACGGGAGTCACGTGATCAACAACCGGCTGTTTCTACTGGTGAAAAAGACGACGACGAAGAAGATAACAGGAAGTAGAAGTGGTAGTAATATCACAGAAGTTTTAAAGGCACATTGTGTAAGATTTGTTGTTTTCAGCGACATCTAGTGGTTGGGTGGTTGAATCATCCTCCCTGGTCCTCCCCCCACCCCCACTCTACGGTGTCTCTCAGAGGTCAAAAACCTTTGATAATTCCAACTCGATGTCTACCAGCAGCTTCAGGGCTAGTGATATTTCAAGTGGTAAGATTATGAGCTTTAATAAGTAAAATTATCCCAGCTACAATGACAGACAACAAATATTACATTTATAGTATTACAACTAAAACYRTTTTBGACRCCGCYACCRCAGTTTGTCCTTCATGAGCCTTCGTAGACAAGATGGCGGCTGCTTGTTGYGGCGACCCGCGACCATGGAGATATAAACAGCTTTTTATAAGGTAAAAATAATAAAACAAGGTCTTTGTCTGCAATGATTAGACATGTTTTTTATTATTGTCATTAGTGATTATCTCAATTTCGGCTAAAAGACTTGACAAAATCCTACACACTGTGCCTTTAAAAGAAAGTAGTAAACTCACCGACTACATTTTACCAAAAACACAGCATACGTAGCCGCTCCCAAGTAGGGACTTGTCTCTGGAAAGCCTCGATAAAAGACGTCGACGTCTCCTCTGATGATGAGCGCTAGTGTCGTGGTAGCAACATGCTATGTGTTTACATCCATCGCCGCCATGTTTGTAATGACTTATCGCGAGAACAAACGTATTCATGCATGACTTTAATAGCATTTCTTACTTAATGGAAACACCGCAGTTGCAAAACTTTTTTCGACATTAAGAGAATATCGACAAAGTTTTGCGCACATTTGCAATGGAAATGCAGCTCCTGTTAAATTGTTTCATTCAAACTAAGTAAATCTTCATCTCCCCGCCAGTGATTTCAACTAAAGTCATCTTCTGCTGAGAAAGGTTTGGTGGAACTCTTAGAATGACATTCGATTGCACGATCTCATGCCATATCGCAAGCTGTCACATACATGTTGTTAACGACTTTCAGCTGTGACCACTCCACACTCCAGCTCTCTGTGTGTGAACTGGCTGAGTTGCTGCTATTTATTTGCATTTCTTACGTTTGACTGGCTGCGGTGTCCATCTTGAAAAGGGTTGAATCCAAAAGTTTTTCCCTTTGTAAAAGATATTTTGCCAATTACTGAGCCCGCGAGGGCACATGGGGGATTTTTTTTCATTTTGCGTTTCCACGCAAAAGTATTGCGTTACCTCGCAATAACTTTTGCGTTCCCTTGCAAAAGTCGTTAAACACTGTTGTGCCTGCCGGTTTATTAACAAACTCATATGTTTACCATTAGCGAGTTAGCCTACTGCTTTAATTCAGCTTCAGGATGTATTCATTCTGAATATCACACAGCCAGGCATGGAAGTATGACATGCCGATATTTGAACACAGTGTAGACACGCAACATCAATGTCAATTTCACAAACTTGTGGCAAGCAAAACAAACAAACAAACAAACAAACAAAAACATACAGCTACAGTAACGTTTCTCTCCTGTGTGGTTTAATTGTTTCCTGCCCCCTCCCCCTCTGTGCTAAGTGGCTCTAAATGCTAACCTAACCTGTTTTGGTAACCGGATATTTCAAAATAAAAGTCTGATTTAATTCAGTTCATATACAAATCAAACTTTTGCGTKGGAACGCAAAACAATATTGCGAGGTAACGCAAAAGTATTGCGAGGTAACGCAAAAGTACTGCGAGGGAACACAAAAGTATTGCGAGGGAACGCAAAGGTATTGCGAGGTAACGCAAAATTATTGCAAGGTAAAGCAAAAGTATTGCGTAGGAACGCAAAAGTATTGCGAAGGAACGCAAAGGTATTGCGAGGTAACGCAAAGGTATTGCAAGGTAATGCAAAAGTATTGCGAGGTAACACAAAAGTATTGCGAGGGAACGCAAAGGTATGGCAAGGTAATGCAAAAGTATTGCGTGGGAACGCAAAGGTATTGCGAGGTAATGCAAAGGTATTGCGAGGTAACGCAAAAGTGTTGCATGAGAACGCAATGGTATGGCAAGGTAGCACAAAGGTGTTGCGAGGTAACGCAAAAGTGTTACGTGTGAATGCAAAGGTATTGCGAGGGAACGCAAAGGTATGGCAAGATAGCGCAAAGGTATTGCGAGGTAGCGCAAAGGTATTGCGAGGTAGCGCAAAGGTATTGCGAGGTAGCGCAAAGGTATTGCGAGGTAGCGCAAAGGTATTGCGAGGTAACGCAAAATTATTACATGGAAACGCAAAGGTATTGTGTCGTAACGCAAAAGAAAAAAAATCCCCCATGTCCCCTCGTGGGCTCCGTAGCTAATAGTTACTACTAAGCAGAGATTTCCAATTTTTATATCGATATCTGTAAAAATTACAGAAAACACACAAAAAAAAAAGCCATAATTCAAACACAAGTTGCTTTTAGTGGTCATCTTGAATCAGGGTCGGCTCCAAAAGGAAACATTGTTGATGTGCATCCAATGATTTATTCCTGAAAGTGTCATAAAAACCCATCCACTGGATCAGAAGACATTCTACTAACACTCAAAAGTGACCCCAAATAAATAATGCATGACCGGTCGGTTGTTGATGAACGTTGAGTGATTCCTTTCTAACCGTTTCAGTGAAGTCTGTGGGTTGATGGATGAGACAGTTTGTTACAGCTGTACACACAGAGACACAGACAGAAACATAATCTCTATTATCTATCTCTCTCTGGCACAGATATCTGTTCCCTTTGGGAAATTCAAATGAGCTCCCAGTGCAATTAGGGGAACAAGTTGTTTCCTTCCTGACTTTGTTTATTTAGCACTCCTCTGCTGTAAAAGACGTCTGAACCACAGCTGATATTTGCTTCGTGGCGACAAAGACGGATGATGCATCACGGTAACTAATAATTATCTTTTGAGCGTTCGGATAAAGAAGAACTTGAAATGGAACAGCAGCTGAAGTCGTGTCGGCGCAGTTTGAGGGGTTGAAGAGAGGATCAGGGAGGCTGTAGCCATGACCTGCATGGGTCTGCATTTTACCTGACTGAAGGAACCACATTTCATCCAACCTTAGCAGAAAATCTAGAAGTTCTTTGAGAGGTAAGAAGACAACATCTGAGTTTGGACCA